CCACGAGCCCCCCCCCCCTACTAATAGCAATGGAAATGCATGAAGACGCATGGCAGTGCACGTTGAAACACAGCTTTACACGTATTGACAGGCAACACAAGCTGCATTACAAAACACATCAATGCACCCAAACGCACGTCAATAGGTATTTTCATGTGTTTCCATTTCTTCTCATGGAAAGTATGAATGCTGCCTTGAGAAGCTGGCAAATAAGAAGGACCAGATATTTCATATGCTTGCTACATTAAAGAGGAAGTCCAAGAATATAAAAAGTTAGGCTTGCGTTGGGGCTGCCCCTGCACTGCAAGGGTTAACTGATTGTTTTTCTCTAAGGTCTCAAATCAAAAATATTTTTAAAAACCTAACCTGATCCTCAATCCTGTCTGGCTGCTAGACCAGTCCCTGCAGCCTCTTCTCCCCTAGGCTCCTGTGGTTTAAGCCCCGCTGACGTCATCACGTCTAATGCGCTCCATTCACCTGCATTGAACATGAGGATGCCGAGGGATATTCCACACACGGAGCGGAGGGGGAGAGGGGTGAGGGCTGTCTGCTGCAGGATCGAGGATTAGGTAAGTATATTTGCTTTATTCTGGCCCCTAGAGAGAAACAAGCAGTTAACCCGTGCAATATGGGCGTAACCCCAGTACAAGGGTTAGCTTTTTACATATTTGGAGTTCTTCATTAATGTTGGGGCCTACTTACAAAATCTGAAGAACTCACTCATAGAAACCAATCAGCTTTGAGCCTTTATTGACTTGGAAAATGTACCTTATTTTTTCATATTTTTATTGATACCTCCCACTCAATATTTCCAGCAGCGAATATATTAAGACTGCCTCCTGAGCAAATGTAGAATATGGCTGGGATTCCACCTCATGATGAAAGGTCCGAATGTTCCAATCACCTCACATTCTGCAATCAAACAATGCTGCTTCTTCTACTGTATATAAATGGAAAACACAGCCAGCGGACAACCGGACGCAAGACACTCAGTGACGACAACGCCACTTAACATTTTCTGACAGATGCAGCTGCAGAGGTCCTCAGCAAGCGGGATCTCGGGCAGTCGCATCTGCCTGAAACCAGATCTTCCTCTGAGCTGCGGGCGCCTGTAAACAGGCACAGGGTGCCCGCACATCTCCTTCTCCTCCCTGGCACCATGCTGCCCGCTATGCGGAGCCCTAGTGAGACACCACATCCCAGACATACCACCTGAGAGGCACACAGCCTGCCTGAGAGTTGCATAGCCCACCTGAGAGGCACACAGCCCACCTGAGATTCACATAGCCCACCTGAGAGGCACACAGCCCATCTGAGAGGCACACAGCCCACCTGAGAGTCGCACTGCCCACCTGAGAGGCACACAGCCCACCTGAGAGGCAAACAGCCCACCTGAGAGGCACACAGCCCATCTGAGAGGCACACAGCCCACCTGAGAGTCGCACAGCCCACCTGAGAGTCGCACCGCCTGCCTGAGAGTCACTTAGCCCACCTGAGAGGCACACAGCCCATCGGATAGTTGCATAGCCCACCTGAGAGGTGCACAGCCCACCTGAGAGGCGCACAGCACATCTGAGAGCCCGCACATCCTCCTGAGAGCCCGCACAGGCCACCTGCAGACATCAGGGTGCCAACCCAGAAGAACACAGAGTATGTAGCTCCATATTATTTTGTACTGCTGTATAATGTATTGCTGTATAATGTATTGCTGTATAATGTATTGCTGTATAATGTATTGCTGTATAATGTATTGCTGTATAATGTATTGCTGTA